GTGGGCTGTGGGTCTCAGCGTGGGCTGCGGGTCTCAGCGTGGGCTGCGGGTCTCAGCGTGGGCTGTGGGTCTCAGTGTGGGCTGCGGGTCTCAGTGTGGGCTGGGGGCCTCTGCCTCAGCTCACAACGAGGGTCCAGGGAGGAGCAGCCAAGGGCGGAGACAACCACAGTCCAGTCGCATTTCACTAAACCTAAGAGGGTTTTCTGCCCGATGAATGAATTCTATTTTAATGTGTCCAAGGCTACAAAACAGGTTTGGCTACTTTAGAAAAAAACTCATGGATTCATTTTACAGTTACCTCCCTGGGGCTTCTGTTTAAGGGGGGCGGCCTAACTCCAGCATCTCTTAAGGATTTGATAGCCCTACATTAGGAAAGTGGACGTACCTTGGAGAAATCAACATTATTCTTAAGAAGTACAAATTGCCATTTATAAAAACAGTCACGAGAATGCAGACTACAGCACAGGAAACACAGTCAATAATATTGGAGCAACTATGTACAGTGTCAGGTGGGTACTAGGCTTACTGGGCGGATCACCTTGGTAAGGTATGTAAATGTCTAATCACTATGTGCTACACCTGAAACTATTATAATATTGAATGTCAACTGTCCTTGGGAAATAAATTAATTTTTAAAAAAAGAAATAAGCATTATTCTATTAAATATTAGAGTCTGGGGAGCCGGGCTGCCCACAGATGTGGGTGGGTCCTAGCATGGCAGGGGCCCCTATACCCCAGCTCTGTGGGCCTCAGGCCCCCCTGTGCCTGCTTACTCTGCTCTGTACAAAACGTGTCAGAAGAGACAGAGAATCAACATCACGCTGACTGGTGAAAGGCAAAAACTGGGTTTCCCGCACAAGCCGTATTTCTTACTGAGTGCCCGCCAGTGACTTTTTTCATCTCTTCACGTAGACGTGAAGTCACGTGGTTCTCGGCAGGAGAGCCCCCTGCACTGGAATTCTGTTATTTTTGTTTTGCTCGGCTATTTAGGAAAGAAATTAAAAACTAGCTGGAACCTACTCTGGCACTTAGGAGGAGGTGGTGACAAAAGGTGACAGCAAGTCTTTATGTCACTTCAACAAATGGAACTCCCAGCGCGGCCCAGTCCACGCCCTCTGCAAGGGCACCTGAGTGCCCCCGATGCTCTTAGTGGCTTTGGGGCCCAGCTCAGTCCAGAATCAGTGAAATCAGGTCTCGTCCAGGTCTATTCTCTGCTTACGGAGGCCAGAGATAAAATGTCCATTTTAATACTGATTTTGGATAAGGAGAGGTGAAGCCAATGAGAGGCTTGGGATAACCCCGAGTTCATGAGCCCCAGGCCGGGTTGGGACCCGGGGGGGGGG